GGCAGCCTCTCTGATGGCATTCTCCGTCAGAACCAGCAGATCCTCATCTGTGGCTCGTGCGCGATCCTCCAGCAGGCGACTCGTGTCCTTTTGCACAATAAAATCATCGCTGGACATGACCGAATTGCAGGGCGAGTACAGCGGCGGCGTCATCAGCGCAGCTCCCGCCTCGGGTTGGGTAATGCACGAGATGCTCAACTCCACATCGGCCGCATCCATGGCATTCTCCTCGTGATACTGATCCGCTATGCTGTTCTGCTCCGTGTCGCTGGTGTCCAAATCAATCACTGGCACCGGTGGCAGTGGCACGAGTATCACATCATCATCGTCGTCCTCGTTGGATGTTTCACCCAAGTCCACAAATTCCACGGGCTCCGTGGGCTTGCGCTGCTTCTTGTTGGCCAGCGCCTGCTTAGACTTCTGCTTCTTCGCCGCCAGTCGCTCCATTTGCACCAGCTTGCGATTGGCCTTGCTGAAGGGTCCCGATTCGGGTTTGACCTGCTGCTGCTTGGCCTTTTGCTTCTTGGGCGGCCAGTTGGAGGGTATAGCCACGAGCAGTTTCTGATCAAAGCGTTCGGGTTCATCATCCGCTTGTCGCTGTGTTTTTGCTTGTGGCTTCTGGGGGGTTTGTGGCTTTTGTTCTGCTCTTGCTTGTGGCTTTGGCGAGCTCTTCCATTTGGTTTCTCTCTGTTCGGCTCTTGGTTGTGTCTGTGGCTTTGGTGATGGTTGCTCCTTCTGCTTTGGTTGCTGCTGCTTCGGTTTTTCCTTTTGTTGCTGCTGTTGCTTCGGCTGTGTTGGAATCTCCTTGCGGGTTGGCAGTGATGGGCGCTTGCCAGTTGGCTTGTCTGTCGCCTGGGGCGCTGCAGTTGCAGTTGAACTGGAGGAGACTTCGGCAGCTGCAAATAAATAAAGTAAAATTCACTTAGAACAATGTGCATCCCATAAGAACCCTCAAACCCAAACTATTCCCAGTTGAAAGTGCAATTTTAATACGAAAAAGGATTAAGCAAAAGGTTTAGATTCTCATTTTCCACATCCTGCGCAGCCACATCGCCCAAACTGTAGCCACAGGCATTGAGCTCTGCCAGCTCTTCCTCGTTTATGTGGTAGAGGATAAGCGGATCCTCATGCAAGTCCGTTCTGTTAGGCCACAGCAGCACCTTCACGGAGCTGCGAAACACGTTGACTGCCTCATTGATCAGCCTTTTAGCCTCGTACATGTTCTTGAGCAGCAACTGGCTGCCATTCGCAGAGAGCGAGCGCACAACCAGAGCGTGCTCCAGCTGCTGCACGAGGCGTAACAGCACGAAGCGTCGATAGCGCTCCTCGTAGTGGATCTGCGGCTTGTTGCGACGCAGCAGAGCCCTGCAGACAATAACATCCACGACATAGCCCAGCACATGAATGGAGGCAGTCACCAGGATCCACATGAGCAGGTACTCGGTGGGGCACTGGGTAAGCTCCTCGCGCCAGTAGAGCAAATCGCAGCCATAGCGACGGAAATGATAGTCCAGCCAGACGACCAGAAAGAGCATATTCAGCATGGCCAGTGCCATGCAGCCGGGGTCCAACCACTTGTGGACAAACTGCAGAAGTTTGCTACACAGCGACAGCAGCTGATTCAGATACTTCATGGCCGAAAGCGGAGAATTTTTTAACCAAAATTTCGAAGGCAAACCAAAGTTGGGAAATAGCTTGACGGGACTCTATTCCTACGGCCATCTCGGTGACAAACATTCAGTCGGATTGCTGCTCCTACTCACCTGCGGTTACATTTGGAGTTTTTGTCTTATCCTTATCCTCCGCCCAGTAGCGCGGTTTGGCCACTGCATTGTTGATGACACGCTTCTCGCTGACAATGCGCTGGGACTGTGGCGGTGGTGGCATGTGCTGGGCATCCACGGCTGCTCGCTGATCGGCCGCAGAAGGTGTGATTTCACCAGCCCCAGCACCCGTTTCATCGCTGTAATGGATGGACGCGTACAGAATGGACTCCAGCTCATTCAAGCGCTCGCTGTCCATGTCCTCCAGCTGCAAAAGTGTTTGGGATACATGTAGGGACAATGTTATTTTCCATTAGAATGATACATACATCGCTCATCTTGCGTCTTTGTTTTCTTTTGCTATTTTTTTACATCCAATTGACAATGAATAATGAAAAGAGAGGGGAGCACGTTTGCCAGTCAGATAGGGGAATGGCCAATCGATAGTTGCGTAGCACTATCGAAAGTCGTCCAGAATCGATATAAAAAAATATCAACTCTAGCTGCCGGCCACGTACGATTTGCGTCGATTTACAATTATTTATTAAAACATATAAAGTAAATTAAACAAAGCGGCGGGTGTTGGCTGACTAACTAAATCACATTTTGGTTATTGCAGCATGGATACCGTCTCCTTTGAAAACATGAAACGCTACGTTTCGCCCATCAATCCAGCGGTATTCCCCCACCTCGCCACCGTGCTCCTCACCATTGGAACATTTTTCACCGCCTGGTTCTTCATCTTCGTTGTGTCCCGCAAGACCACCAAGGAAAAGACTCTGATCAAGGAATTACTTATCAGCTTGTGTGCCTCGATATTCCTGGGCTTTGGCATTGTGTTTCTGCTGCTCACTGTCGGTATTTACGTATGAAAATTAGGCCAATAAGCATTCCATTATATAGAAATAAACTAGAGGACCTGTAGTGGGCGTGAACGTACGTGAGGCCTTTTTATTGTAATTTCAAAGATTCAATTTGCGCTTAAAACAATATCGAATATATTATGTTAACATATCAATCGTGTGTGTGTGTGTGTATTCTCATGCACCCCCCGCGTTGCAATCATAGAAAAAATGAGAAGCTAGCCGGCAAGTCCAGCCTTTTGTCTACACTTTTGCATTGTGGCCCGCAAGATGAACTGTTTGCGCGAGAGTGTGCGAACGTGCTTAAGGAAGGTCTCCAGATCGATAACCCCACCGCGCAAACCCTCGCCCAGATAATAAATGGCATCCTCTGTGGCTGCCTCATCGGCATAGGCATTGAGTAATCTGAAAGAGGAGACGGGAACACACATTACACTCACGGATATCGCACTCCGAACTCGCGTCAACTCACTGTCTGTATAGTGGTGCCGTTGTGGTCACAGCCTCGTCTGGGTCAATGGCTTCGGCATTCTCAAGCGTCTCCAGACTCTTCTCCAATTCCTGCTCCTTGTCGCGTAATACATTAATGTTCTTCTGCAGATCCACCTGCTCGCGCTCGAGGCGCGTTATGATGGAATCAATCTTCGTGCTGCCCTCGACCAATTCCTGTTTGGTGCGATTCAGCGTCTCGATTTCGGCCTGATACTGATTCACCTTCTCCTGTATGCGACGCCGCAGCTTGTCCTCGACTGCGCTGATGAGGGAAGCCTTAATGTGCTCCTCGGTAATGGTGCCCGTCGAACTGGGACTCGCCGATGGATTCTAACAGGAAATATGTCACAAAATCGTTGCAAAACAAATGCCAAATTGATGCTTACATAGCCGCCAGCAGGTGGATAACTGCCAGCTGGTTGTGGATAATTCATGTAGGGCGGATAGCCAGCGGCATTGCCACCAGCACCGCCTGGTGGATACGGTCCGAAGTTAGCACCCGTTGGATAGGGCGGAAAGTTCCCACCGCTTGCACCACTAGCAGTAGGATAAGGCAGAAACGAGTTGCTGGCCCCAGCACCACCCGATTGTTGCATGTAAGCTGAAAGGCAGACGGGAATCGAGTCAGATGAGAGATGTTCTGTTTAACTGGTGGACAGCTCACCATTTGGTGGATATGGCATTGCCATTTGTTGTTCCTTGGGCTTTGAATACACTGGCGGATGATCGCCGAATGTCACAATCATGACTTGGATGAGGGAAAGCAGATCCGAGGAGTTTGGCTGCCAGTCGTGCAAGTACGGCAGGTAGACCTTGCCATTGTGATCCACATACATGGACACCTTTATCTGCATGGTGGGTGTGGGCTTAACAAAGCACATTGGCGCATTCTGCGGATGAGTGTCCATCAGCCATATACATATGGGAATGTAGTACGTGTTATCTATCAGAAATCGCAAATGTTAATCAAAGCGAGGAACAACGCTCCACACACTCACTTTTATAGACCACCGGGATGGTGCCCTGCAGTGTGAACAGATCTTTGTGACTTCCATCGTTGAACACTGTTGTGGCAGGGGGTAGGGCAGAAGGGGAACACCATTAATTGGATGCTGCTGCTTATCAGGCGGCGTGGAGGGCTTACCAAACTTTTGCAGATCATAGGTCAGACTTCGGTATGTTGTGATTACATCCATCACGTCCTTCTTCGTGACGTCGACATATTTATACTACAATTAAAACGGGAGGCATGTCGTTAATTGCGTTGCATGCGAAATTAGGCAAACAAGTTCTGTCTCAGAGTGGGGAGATGCCCCCAACAATGAGTCATCTGCCATGGCCATACCTTGGATAGAAATTTGATGATCTTTGCTTCCTCGACAGCAGGCATTCTAAACTGAGACTGGGGGCACAAATTTGCCCGCTACACCTGGCCCAAAATCGTTTTACTTTGAGAATTTTATAGGAAATTTCGCTTGAACAAAAACAAAAGTGTACAACCGATAGATATCAACTGAGCTATCGATACTATATATAATTTACTCGATGCTATACATATTCGATTTCATATATATCGATTGTATATATCGCTGTCACGCGTAGTGACGGCATAAACCGTTGCGCTCAAAATGATTTATCTAGAATTTAGAATTACTTTTATTTGTGCAATAAAATCTACAATTATATTATGCCAAGTGATATGTTCATTTAGTATCTTTGTGTTGGTGCTGATCTTGATGGGCTGTGCATGAGATGGGCTGTTACTTTTTCTTGCACACTTTGTGGCTTCTGTGGTTATCGCGTCTGAAATCAAACAGATGAAAACGAGTTGTTATGAATCGTAGTAAATAAAATCACTTGGCGGGCATAGAAGAGGCTCTGGTTCTTGGTGTCTTAAACATATATAGCTTTATTTGAATACTTTCTCTCACTTCTCTCTGTTCGTTCATCTCTCATATAGGCATTATATATTTTATTTTACGTTTGTGGTTCGTTGTGTGCGTGGTGTGGTGTGAGTGGGGGGCATTGTGTGTTTGTGTGTGTGCGTGTACTTAACCAATTGTTCAGTTAACTAGGCATTACTATAGGTATTGTTCATGTTGGGTTACTCTTTAAATATATACTTTATATAAATATGTATTTTTCGTTTATTTAGTTTATATGTTTATAAAAGTTATCCCTCTGCTCTCCACTCCATTCCATTCCACTTTTATTTCCTCTGCCATTGCACTCTTTCTTTCGTTCGTTTATGTTTTAATGTCTGTCTGTCTCTCTTGCTGCAGCATCTGGTTAGTTGAATTTTCCGTTAAATCGTGGATTAACACATATATAAAAAATAACTCTTATGGTATTCTTGCATGCGCTCTCCTCTCGTTCTCTCTTTGCCTTCTGGGCTCTTCTATTATTACGGTACATACACACTTAATCTATGGGGTGGGGAGAAACCATTTTATAGTCTCTCCCGTTTCTCCTTTATATATTATATATCATAATCATACTGATTTACTCGTAGTTGTTTTTTGTGCTATTTTGCATTACTTTTATTATTGCTTCAATGGCGCTGCATATTCTTCGTTCTTTCTTTTCTTTTGTGGAGTGCATTTTATGATAAATCGTTAAAAAAAAACAAAATACAATTCAAATGTAGGAAGGGATTCCGGAGCAAAGTAAATTGAAATTGTCATAAAGGGGCTTTCACATAGTTTTTTTTCGGTTCTTTTTCGTTTTCTCTTTTCTTTCTTTTTCGTTTGTTTTTTTTGGCACATTTGCTGCATTTCGTTTTTGTTTTTTTGCCATGGTACTACAACAAGTGTTCTTCGTGTTCTCCTTCACGTAAATCTCTTCATAAATAATTAAATACATAATTCGTATGCTATAAGAAATTGCTGTACAACAACAAGTGAAGCGCGTGGGTGGGGGCGTGTGTGTCTCAGTGTGTGTGTGTGTGTGTGTGTGATTGGAACGTAGAGCGTAAATATAATAGATATAACGTACTCCGTATATGTTATAAAATTTTATTGCATAGCGAGCGAAGGATGTGAATTTGCATGTTTGTGGGGGGACTGGAAGGTTGTGGAAAACGATAATTCGTGCACAGGGGAACTGGGAACTGGGGGGTTTGGGTTTTTTCTCTTCGGATTTTCTTTTTCGTTATTAAATATTTCCATTATTAAAATGTAGAAAATAAATTTGATCTAAAATGTCAGTCTATTGCGGAAAATCTACTTTTGATGTGATTTCTACCCGATTTTCGCTTAGTTTTTGTTTGCATTTTGCCTCTGCTTCTTCTTTTGTTTTAGTATCTTTCTCAATATACTCGTAAAAAATTCCCTAATATTATATGTATGCATCATGTGTATCGTCGTCGTATCGTTCATTCAACCCAATCGTCGCGTTGATTGCGTTGCGAGGCGAAGCGATCCAATCCGATCCGATTCCGATCTGATCCGTGCTGACATTAGATGTTAGCCCGAGACGCGAATGCTGGGGAGGATCGGTGTCCCGCGGCAATGGGCGTCATACTGCTATTGCTACTAATGTGCCTACTCAATGGCTAGGTCTACGTCTACTTAATGGGTAGGTAGGTGGGGGTTGTGGGGGGCGGGGACACTTAACCTAGCTTCGTGTATGCGTAGGCGCAGATCACGCCCACCACAACACCAGCCGCAATATATGTGAGTAATGACCTTCCTTTTTTTGACGCCTTCTGCCCATCCTCGCTCTCCCGCAGCTTCCGTTTCATATTGTTGATTTGCTTCTGCAGCTGTGCTTGCTGTTCGTTGCGTTTTCGTCGCTTCAGCTCGTTCTCGGGACTACAAATGGGAAATGAAAAGGTTACAAAAATGTCCACACAGTGGTTCACATCATCAACTGTATTACCTCGCTGGTGTCTGCGTCTGCGACTGACCCACTGTGTCAATGCCATTGGCCTTGTGCTGTTCGGCTGGAGCTGGCTTCTCACTGTTGGCATTCACATCATCATCTTGGGGCGTCGTCGTCGATACACTGCCATTGACGGGCTCCACATCGGGCAATTTAATGTTCTCATAATCCGCTTCAAAATCTTCGTCGTTCTCCTCATCATCATAATCGTCTTCGTCATCATCGTCATCATCATCCAGATCCTCATCGCTGTCCGACTCCTGAAACGACCTCAGAGGCCTCGTCGGCAAGGGCGGCAAGGGACGCAGACTGTCGGCCACCTCAGCGTTAATGATCTCGTGCTGGTTGATGAAATTATTCAGAGCATCCTTGCTGCTCAGCACCGAGGGCTTGTCGCCAATATTTTCAGCAGACACCTCCTCGCCATTGGACTGGGCGGCACGCATATTCAGCGAGAGCACTCCGCCCGCATTGGGGGCCAGTGGCAAGTTCAGCGAATGTGTGCGAGGCGGCAACGGTGGCGGCACTTCATCCTGTGCATGTGTATCTGTCTCATTGCCAATGATTGGTTCCTTAGCGTCGAGAAAGGTCTGCAGAGAGAGAGGGAAATTATTGGATTAGTCCAACGCCAAGGCACAGCGAAAGAAACTCCACTGTAAACGGCGGCGCTTGGCAGTGGATCCACGTCCAGCTACCGCACGCCTGCCGCTGAGAGCGCATACATACGGGATCGTTCAGCTTCTTGATGCCCTCGATGATGGCCTGATAGGAAAAGTCCAACTGGTCGGATGTCTGTATGAGTCCCATGCGATAGCTGCGCAGCTCGCACAGCACCTGCGACACATTGCACTCGCCGAGCTTGTCTACGAGCACAAGGCAGCAGTCGACCAGGCAGAAAGTGCCCGAGCGGCCAATGCCGGCGCTGCAGTGCACCACGGCCGGACCGACATCGTTGCTGAGGCAGCCAGAGTCACGTACTTGCTGCAAGAATTTCAGGAATGCATCTGGCGAACTGGGAATGCCAAAATCTGGCCATGTGATGTAGTGGAACTGCATCACCTCGCGGCTCTTTTGGGTTTCGAGATCGGTTAATCTGTGGGGGAGGGAGTTGTTCATTGATTTGCACTAGGTGATCGATGGGCTTTCACTCACTTGAACCACCGCCGCACAAAGTTCTGGTACGTCTCACAGCGCACAAGCTCCACGGTGAGCTGCACATTGGGCAGCTTCAAGGCCTTATCCGCTCCGAGCTGATTGGGCCAGTACAGATGGCATTTGATTTGCTTTTTCTCCATCAACTTGTTGAGCATGAGAATGGCGCTCGATTTTTGCTCCCAGACCATCAGCCAGAAGTGGCCGACAGTATCCTCCAAGGGTCCCTGGGTCAGTATGTACTGACGATCGGCACGCTCCAGCTAACAAAAGAAAATCGCTCTTAAAACTTCGTTTGAGTGGAGTGGAAGTGCCTGCACTTACCTTCACCAGATTGGCATTGATGTAATCCACGCTGCCGCGCTTCAGGACAATCCTCGAGTGATCGTAGGGATTCACATCCCTATAGCGATTCAGGCCACGATTCTGTGAACGCTCCGATTCCAGCGTACTGAACTGTTGCTCTTTAGCCCCGCGATCGCATTTCTCAGAGATTTCCTGGAATTTCAAAAATTTAACGATTAGCATTGATGTGTTTAGTCGGAAGCAATAAACAAATGTGTCGTGGCCATTAGCACGATAGATAGCCGAGGCATCTGAGCTTTCTTTCATGCTAAAATGTCTGGCAAAAGAAAACAAATTTGGCAAACGTCAAGTAATCACGAATCGGTGGCAATAATATAATTCAATAAATCAAAGAATATTCAACGACTCATCACATTCTTTGAGCTGATTTCAAATATTCTACAAAATTCTACATATAATGTTTCATGTCGGTTGCAACAGAAACCCAATATCTTGTATTATGTTTGGGGGGTTGCCCCATGCCAACTGACCCATCCGCACAGCGTCAGGCACAAGTTGCTCGCATTTATAGCCATGCAGTGGGCCTAGAGGCAGGCCTAACCCTGCACCCATAACACCCAAACAGACAAATAGATAGAGAGAGGCAGAGAGAGAGAGAGAGAGAGGCACCAACACGACCCATTCAGCTGACAAACCGGCCATGACTAATTAGCCCAGCAAACGATGGCTGCCCCCTGACTGTTGTTAATGGCATTATCTTTGGCCGGTTTGGGTGCTTGGGACCGGCTTTATCAGCCGAATGTATGCGTGTGTCTGTGTGTGTGTGTATAAATGCTGGCACAGCTGTAAGCGAATCGAACCATTCAGCATTCAGCAGCACCGTCAAACAGGGTCAATGGCGCCAAACCATGCGGTGACAAGTGCATCTCAAGCCATGCTTATGGCATGTAAGAATTGTGATGGCTTGGGCATGCCAGATACGCGTAATCCGCCGCGCACATACTCCATCAAATATCTGCGCTTTTTGTATGAGTAATTCGTTGAATGGTTGCCCCTGCCCCCTCGCTCCACACTCCCGATGATTGCAGTTCGCCAAAAAGCCGTTTTTAATTGTCCATTGTGTCACACTGTGGTGGGGGTGTGAATCAGCCGAGGGAGGGAGCTGATTCGCAGGGATCCCTCCCATTGATAGCAGTTCCTCTTATGAAACACATTTTTGGACCCACTTACGCAATCAGCTGAGCCACGAAACGGAGCAATGTCCGATAAGCAGAATATTTCCAATGAATTATTACAGGAACAACTAAAAAATGGGGCCCAATGGGGATTTCTGATTATCACAATAATTACGAGTCCCGCTGGAAAGAAATTATTCTCAAAATTATTCATACATGATTTTGTATCACTTTTATTATGAATAGATGTACGGATTTATCACGTGTCACGTGAGTCGAATCTGTGGAAAGTGCATTTCCATGTCAATTATATATGGCTAAATAATTGTAGAGAATACATTTACGACCGATGTATTTTAAACTGAGAGAATGGCTGGAATCTCTCTCTCGGAATCTCTAATATCCTACACTCGATTATTCAATACATCCGTTAGATATCGTCAGCTCTAACCATATTTTGATTGGCTATTTTCTGTGGCCAGCAGCAACAGTTATTTTATGCTTCTTGATTATCCAGGTGACCCTTCTACCGTTTACAGCTATAAACACACATCGACACACACACACAAACACGCGAGGAGAATTGAGAAATACCAACAGGGGAGAGAGGCGTACTACATGGGGTCTTGAATTTCCAAAGCGTGCAAAGAATTGTATTTCTCGAAAGAAAAGCCAAGCAAAACAAAACAAAAAGCGTTGCATGCATGCAGAGCATAATTGCAACACGCCCCCGTCCACCAGCACCAGCACCCTCACCATGCCCCACTCGTCACACTTGGCGGCGGTTGTCATAATGGAAGGAGGGAATGGATGAGTGGATGCAAAGCCTGGCAAGGTGTAAGCTGATAACTGTATGGGGATGGGGATACATCTCAAAGCATAGAAGAAGAGAGGAAGAGAGAGAGGGACATAACGGGAGTGGAGTGCGTTCAATGGAAATGATTATACGCCAAATGCGCAAAAAAGCATAACAAAAAGATGAATGCGTCATTTTTTGTTGTTATATTTTCTGGGAGATTTCAATAGAAATTTCATCCGCGGAGATGCCATGTTCAAACGAAAAACAATTTGTTTTGCGATACATAATTGTTGTTGTTTGTGTTTGTATTTGTATTTGTAATCGTGCTGGTGCAGGGGTGACGGAGACTCCTTTCAGTTAGTTGAAATTTAGATTATCCTCGGCTGGGCACACAAGGATGCCATGGCGAAGCCACAAAAGAAGTTACAGACAGTGACACACACACACACGCATGCACACACCGACACGAGGCATCCTCTTCCTAACTGCGAAGCTGAATTCCGTGAAATCCCAATTCAAGTGAGTGCCTGGTCTGGCCATGGCAGAGTAGAGCCGCTTCCAAGCAGGGGCAGCAGCTGAAGACACATTTCGCCGGAACTGGCTATAAAGCAGAACTGCCAGCAATGAACAAGAAGCAGAAGAAGCAGTAGCAGAGAGGAGCAGGAAGAGCAACCAGAAAGAAACCCAAAGAACGACTCAAAACCAGACGCATGCCCTTTGTGCCCCTTGGCGAGAGATGCGTGCGAATGTGTGTGTGACTGGATGGAGTGTGCGGCCATATGTGTGTTCGCGAGTGTGTATTGGAATAGTTCCCAAGTGAAAAGAAGCTAGTGTCGACCCTCCGTCTCTCGCTCCACCCTGATGCGTTGCGATAAAAATAAGCTTGTCAAAGTATCCTCCTTCCTCCCTCCCGGCACAGCACTTAACTCCTATATCAACAAAAGTCCGGCAATCAAAACAAAGCAAAATGCAAAAACTGTTTTCCTGGAAAACCCGCCTTTCAGTTATGGGGCCCCAAAATTCGAGGAAACAAACCCCCAATATTCTAGGGGGAAGAGGCCTATCAATAACAATCAAGCAAAATAAAAGACGACGCGAATTCGGCTAATCATAAATGTTGCGAGGGGTGGCAAAACAGAGGTGCAAAGATTGGGGAGCACTGGGAACAGCATCTCTCAAAAAGAGAGAAACACCAGAAACAGCATAAATATGCAAACACACACTCTCTAAAACACACAAACACACACACCACAAAAGTACTGTTGTTTGAGCTGCAGCCAAATGCAAAGCAAAGAGTGCAGCAGGTGAGCGGAGCTGTCACTGTTGCTGTGTATGTACGTTGGCACATGCATGTGTGTGTGTGTGAATCTGTTTGTACACTGTATTCTGTTTCTTTTTTTTTGGTCAAATGCTGTTTGAGCCAGGCTGGAGACCACTTATAACCAAAGACGGAGCAACAGCTACCAACACTGGCACACTCGCACAAACACATTCACGCTCACATGACAACAGTGGGGCCAGCGGCGGCGTGCCTACACACACACACACAAACACGTACGTTCTCCCATTTAGAATATGCATGTGTTGGTGGTGGAGGCATCTGCAGAAGCCTTTTGCGCACTCATCACATTTTCGTGGAAATCGAATCGAAAAGGAACACTTTGTGTGTACACGCTTGCGACTCCTGCCTGGCCGCCACCACTGCTACGTGCATATTCCTTCCAGGTGTTGCCAAACGCATTGCTTTTCTTCACTCTTTCTGCCAGTGTGCAATTATTCTGGCTGCAACAGCAACAGCAGTAGCCAGTGCCTGTCATTGGATGTGTTGTTGTTGTTTTTACCTTGTAGAAGCGATGCCAGCCCGATCCAGTCTTTTTATTGTTATATTCCGTTTCAATCTTTTGCCTGGCGGCCGCGTTATCCTTTGTGCTTGTTGGGGACGGCGACCCACTTGTTTTCTGCTCACTCATTGTGCACTGTTTGTTGTTTTGTTTCCTGCGTTTTAATTTTACTTTTAATTTGGAGTCCAGGCGGCGTTGTGACTAGCAGTGTGACCGCGGCTTAATCAATTAAATATACACGTCTGGCAGTCAGTAATATACCGAAATATACGTGCTCACTTTCAAAATATACCGTAAACATACTGATGAAAAAAGCGAAACGTTACTTTGCGTTGAACGGAAATTCTATTCCTTGATTTTGATATTCGACTTGAAATGAAAAGTTAGTTAGAACTCTCAGCACTGCACTTATAATTTTAACCGAGTAATGTATCAATTTTATACAACAATTGTCAATATGAAATACTCTCGTTTGTTTGAGTGCTTGTAAAAAAGAGTTTCAGCAACCTAATGTTACGTCATTGTTGCTGGTCACACCAGTTAAGACATTTTCAGTATTTTCAATATATCGATGATGCAGTGATATTGTTATTCAATAAATAAAACATGTTGATCTCTCGCGTGTTTCGTTTAATTCACGATAAACGCCTAAGCGTGCCCGTTTTAAGATGTTTCCACCACGAGTTCTCCAAACCCCCAACGGAGCAGCCCAAAGAAAAGGAGGCGCAGGTTAATAGGAATCCCTTCCAGACACTTGTCGGCGGCGTGCAAAACAAATATAAAGTTTTCCGCGACGATGAGGCGCCCGAGATTTTCGATGTGGAAGAGGCACGCCACCAGGAACAGCAATTGCCAGATGAGTCGGACGAGGCTCTGGACCAGTACTATGGCTTGAATCTGAAGCGTAAGTTGCTGGCTTTTACAGAGATTAAAAATGATAGAAAATTTCCCTGCACAGGAGGCATTCGCGGCGTCTTCGATGTCGAGGACTTGGTGGAGCTGCTGCGCAAAGAGAATGTGGATGATATATTCGTGTGCTACGTGCCCGAAGATCTCAAGTATGTGGACCATCTGGTGGTGTGCAGCGGCCGCAGCTATCGCCACATGATATCCACGGCGGAGTTTGTGCGTCGCATGTTCAAGATTAAGCGCACCAAAGGTGACATTCTGCCCCGCATCGAGGGCGACAAGAGTCGCGACTGGATGGCCATGGATTTGGGTGGGTCTCGGCAGCGAAATATTCCCCCAAGCTGTGCCCAAGCTAAACTTTTTCCGTATCTTTTTCAGGCAACATTGCATTGCATATATTTTCGCCAAGGGCCAGGGAGGAGTATGATCTGGAGTCGCTGTGGGCCATTGGCCCCACGTACGATCGCGAGAGCCAAAAGCCTCACAATCCCTACGGCGATTTGTTCATGGCGCAAGCCCCGCCAGTCGTCGAGCAGCAGGATGGGAAGGAGGAAACGTTGAAATAGTTTTGGCATAAGAGAGAAAATACACGGCAAAGCAATCACCAGACCACAGCACCGTCTGAGATCTTTTTGTGGAAGTCGTACAGGCTCGGAAAGACGTGATCCCGATCGATATCCTCGCCGTACTTCTTCACCAAGTACGAGTAGCTCTTCTCGTGCACCAGCGCCGCATGCCAGCCCACCTCCTTGGCTGCTAGATAATCTGTCGTCGGGCCATCGCCCACATGCAGGCACTCCTCGGGCTTGAGGTTCTGCAGGCCCGAGGCCTCCATGGCGCGCTGAAATATCACTGGGCCCGGCTTCTCCGCCTGCGCCTCGTACGAGGTGAGCGCAAAGTCCAAGTACTGGTCCAGCTTAGTGTTCTGCAGCAGCGCCGGCAAACGGGGATCAAAGTTTGCTATGACCCCCAGCTTGCATTTGTCGGGCTTGAGCTCTTTGCGCAGCTGCTGCAGCAGCTCCACGCTGCCATTGCAGGGCTGCCAGCAAATGGAAGTCTTGTACAGCTCCAGCAAATGGTTGGAGAAGTTCGTCAGCTTCTCGTCTGGGATGGCAGCTCCACTCTCCGAGAAGGTGCCTATCGGTCAACCAATGATGATGATTATTAGTAGAGATTGCACTTTGGAACAAGCTGTTTGCTGGTCTATCAAACAAAACACTCGACACACAGACACACACGCTCACCTGCTATCAGCTGACGCCACCATTGCTGCCACTCCAGCTGAGGTTTTGTGTCCCGTCCAAAGTTTGGATAATCCCGATTCATTTTGTACCTGCAAGGGGAGGATGTATCATTACTTGAAACCAGAAGCTGCCTGCGTGCACGCACCAGTTGGCCTTGAAATTCTTGGCCAGCTCATTGTTATCACAGCGTGCGCCGAACAGTGCTCCAATCTCGCCGTACTGCTTGCCGGGACTCGTGCGAAACTGCAGCAACGTGTTGGTCACGTCGAAGGTGATGAGACGAAAGCGATTCAGGCTGCGCATCTCCGCTCTGGCTGGACGCTCGTTTGCGAATGAAATCTGCCGGCGTACTACGTGAGTTGATGGCTGTTTTTGTTTTGTATATCACTTTCAATGACTGAAAGTCAATCCGATCCGTTCCGTTCCGCCGCCCGCTTCCATGCGAGTTGCGCTTATCAGCTAGTAGCTGGCAAAAGCAGCTGCAAAACATTTCAAATGCTGCCTCTGTGTGACAGTGGCTTTCGTTTTGTTCATTTTGTGGCCCCCACTGGGTTGATCTCCCGCTTATCACGGCTGTCGCTGGTGTCATATTAGTATTGACCTGCAATCTGCACTGATTACGCGCCCTGTGCAAACATCATTATAATAGATAGCACAACGTAATGTTAGTAATTTCCACTATCAGCATGGTGACCGCTGGCTGCTGTTTGTGTACATTTTATTTAATTCTGTAACGGAAAACGTAAGCAGTGAGCGCCATCTGTTGAAGTTAAAGTGCACTGTGACAGTTGCTGCTTTTTGAAGCAAGAGGGCGCTAACACTCGATTTATCTGAGAATGTTATCGACACATGGCGCGCAGTTTGATTTGAAGCAGGCCTTTATTTACTTAGAAAGGAATTTGCCTCGGATGGACGCCTTGGCGCCTACCTTTTCATCTTATCTTTGCTCCACACTATACCAAGAATATGCTGCACCCCCGTCTGCACAGGCAGCGCTATAAATAAAAGCCGGGCTTAAGTTTTGGGTTTCTATAGAAGGGCGAGGTTCGTGGGTTTCGTCCTCAAACATTCCACACACATTCCGCTTGTCAAGTTCCACTGACTCGTGGTTACTTCTTTTTGTTGCTTTTCGGCAGTCGGGGAATGTTGCATTTTATTTATATGGAATAACTGCCGCGCGCTACCAGGAAAAAGGAATTTCAACAAAAATTCCACGCGCAGAAATTGATAATGCCATTAAAAACATTTATCAAATATTTTCAAGCTTGATTGGATCTGGCAAACAGCGATCCCTAAAGCAAGGACCCTCAAGGCTCACCAAGTAAGTCCTTATCCATTAATTACTAATCACTTTGCCACCTACCTGGTTTATGCGCCACCTTATCGAACAGGCAAAAAATTCAGTTACTGAATTCCCCCAACTTTCAACGAAAAACTTTCCCAAGAAAAGTAACCAGCCAAAAGCGAGTCAACGACTCTCATGGAATTTCGTGTTGGCCCTTTTCGAAATGTGTCTGGCAGTCGGGGGCCCAAGCTCCGCCACCCCCGCCCCTGCCCCGCAGTTGCTGCTGCTGCTGCTGCTGCTGCTGCCACTCGGCCTCCACAGTCCATGCAACTTGGGGCTGCCTTGCCTCTGCCTCACTGCCTGACTGCCTTTTAATATTATCTGCACTTTGGGTCGCTCTTTGGCTGCCGCCGCCGCCGCCGCCGTCGCCGCTTTTGTTGTTGTTGCTGTTGTTGCTTTGATTGGTCGTTTTAACCTGTTTGCGAATTTCTACCATGTTAATAAATAATTTTTAGAGGAGTTTTTAGAGGAGTCGACCGGCAAAAGTACCGCACCAGCAGCAGGCAGGCAGGCAGGCAGCCAGGCAGCGCCATGGAAGAAGATGCTGGACAACTCCTCGTCGCATCGCAGCCCATTTGGAGTCGGATTAGGTTTTGGCTGCTGCTGCTGCTGCTGCTGCTGCTGCTTCTACTTGGTTTCTGTGTGACTTGGAATGCAGCCAGACAGCCAGCGCTGTCGTCTCCCAACCAACTACCGACTGTTCGCCCACTCCTCCAACTGCAAGTCCAAGTGCAGCTCCCGTCGATACTCTACCTGTGGCACGGTACTCTCAATTTTGCATTTTGTTACCTAAATTTCGATACAAATTATTGTTGTATCCATCAATGGCAGCTTTTTGGCAGCGCATAGCTGCGCCTGCTTGCGCTCCACTTCCAGCACTTCCACTTCACATTCACAGCTCCAACTACAGCGAGAAGTGCAACAAGGGCAGCAGTCGCGGCCAGCAGCAGCCTCAACTTGATGGTGTTCTTGTTTGAAATTCCTTGCCTGCTTTTTGGTTTATTTTGTGTTTTGCTCAGCGCTTCGCATCGTCTTCGTCTTCGTCTTCGTCTTGTGCCTCCCCATTCCCCATTCCACATCCCCCATCCACTCCCTTTCCATTCAATTTGTGGCCCCATCTACCGTCTTGGTCAGGTCAGCATCTTCTTTCGTTCGTTCGTTCGTTTGTTCGTTCTGCCTCTGCCTTCGTCTCTCTGCTCGTTTGTTAAATGTTTGGGTTTTGTTTGAGTTTATTGAGTGAATTCCTGGAAAAACGCAGGAATTTGTCTTTGGTCTTTCGGTTCTGTTTTTTCTCTCTCTCTCTCTCTTCGCCTTTCGTTGCACTTGAACGCTGTTCGATGTCATTGGTGCATAAAAATCGCTTTACGGCTTTTTGAATTTCGTGTGTCCGTTCCCAAGGTGTCTGTACGGGTTTGCTCTGATATGGGATGGACAGGTGATTATGACTTTTTTAGCAGGACACCCAATTACGTACCAAAAACAGCGTGATGCTTGATCGGCAGCCAAATCGGTAAAGATCAACCAGGGTAAATGGCAAAGGCAAACCGAAGTCCTCTGCTGGGAACTGAACTGAGATTTTCGGCTGCGAAATATAATACCTTAATGGAATGGCAAAATGTTTTTAATTTAAGCTTTAAGCTACCAGATTTTTTTTGGGGCAATGTTCTAGCATTGAGAGCACTTTTGGGCTCATTGCAGAGCTATCCAAACTCTCTTCAAGCTCAACTTTTTCCAGCTTTGATCTTTCTCTAACCCATCGCATCTCAATAGCTTCAAATAAAATATAGAAAATTAGGTTAAAACACTAAAGCAACATATTTTATTTAACCCCAATGTGGAAGTATTCGAGGGGAGATTTTTCCGTTTCAGTTTCAGTTCCGGTAATCCCAAAATAGAACATCTTCCCGCTTGATTTTCCACCTCTCTGATGCCCCTTCGACTGTTCCTAAATCACACTGAAATATCTTTGGCGTCGTTGGGGATCGAAGATCCACCCCCGCAGCAGTTCCCCCCAATGGTTTCCAAAAATAACGGAAATGGATGGGAAATCTTAAGAGAGTTTTTTTTGTTGTGTTTGCTATTTTCGAACGATGATTGAGTTGTAATGATTGGGGGGGGGGAAGCATCGATGGCATGGGGTTGGTTCTTCCGCCCTATATGGAAATGGATGGATATGGAATGCATATGTGCCACAACAGAATGTTTGTCTCTCAGTCTTTGTCTCTCTGCCTCTGCCTCTGTCTGTGTGTGTGTGTGTGTGTGCCACAAACTTCGGTTGCATTCCTGGGGCCAAGCAGCGTCGGGCACTAGGCATTCCCAGACGATGCTCCCCGCCGCCAGCGAAAAACAAAAAGAAAGCATCAGCGGCACTCGGGTGCGGGGATGAAACGTGTTGCATTTTGTGGCCGGGGGGAGTACGCACAAAGCGCCCCTGTATAACTTTAAATGCAAGTGAAAGAGAGGGACAGATCGCGCGAGCGAACATTTGTTTGCTTTGTAGGATTCTCCTTTGATTCTACGCTGCTCTGCTCTCCGCTGCGTCGCTGCTTGTTCATTTCTTTTGCTTTCTTTTCCGCCTTTGCGTTTGCCTTTTGCTTTTTCTTTTGGGTTTCTTTTTCCGCTACTTTTAGATGCTGAAAAAATGTTGCTATTGCAAGTGAATCCGAATTTGAATTTAGGAATGATCTGTTATGTGTGCCTGTGTGTTTGTATTTGTATTTTTGTATGGATGTATAAATGGCTTTGGCCCACCACCCAGTCCACCAAGCCATGTCGTCCCGTCGCAGTGCGGTAGGGTACGCGGCGCTACACTTTTCTCTCTCGCTCTCTTATTTTCACTGTCTTTGTTATACGCTCTTTCTTCTACGCTCTCACTCAGTCGCATTTTGTACCGTTTGTTGCAGAGGGTATTATGATTTTCACAAACGTGAGCAGCTTTACACATTATGGTTTGGAATGTTTAGAGAGCATTGAAAATATTTGCACAAAATATTGCCACACGTGGATCTTAAATAGCCTAAATCCG